GGGGGGGGGAGGGGGGGGGGGGGGGGGGGGGGGGGGGGGGGGGGGGGCAGTAATATACTAATAATAAAAGCAAGGTGACAGTATTATCTGTTTTTAATGATATATGTTAGAGTAAAAGGGACCTTTGAACTTGAACCATATGGGCTATACAATTTTGCAAATTTTGACTTGAGATGTGTTCATCATCCTTTTATTGTTTTAGTAATATTACAAGGACTAACCAAACGCTAACATCCCAGCTGACTGATAATTACACTATTGTTGCTTGGTAACCAGAGGCTGGCTTCAAAACACTGTCAAAACATCAGAGCAAATGGCAGCGTGATCCATCTCGCTTCATTCAGTCTCAAAAAGCAACCAACCCAACAAACAAACAGCACAATCTGAACTTTGGAAAGGTAGTCGCTATCAGTGGCATACACAGAAGGCTCAGATACTGGAGCTACCAAGTGACAACCAGTAGGCGATAACTACCTATCCCCCTTGTTAACCTGCCCCCCTCCCTCTATCCCCTTGAAGCAGAAAGTGCAGGGGCAATATCTAGTTTAGTCTACCTGACTCATTGATCCTTTTTAACTGAGGTTTGCACAAGTAGGGATCTATGGCCCCAATCATGGCTCTAAAATATTAGCAGCCCAACTGCGTATTGATAAATCCACGGCGCTGTAAAAAACAACATGGCGAAGGCCAAATCCAAAATGGCGACAGCGAAATCGCTGAACTGGAGGCTTCAAAGCCTAAGTCCACAAAGCAATAGGTGATGTCACAATGATTACGTCCACTTCTTATGTACAATATGTGATCTATACTATATAGCTAATGGGGTGGGGCTGGGGTTTCAAAAAAAATACTGAACCAAAAGAGTTGTTCATAGGGGCATTCACTGTAGTCTTTACTGATCTTCTGCGCCTTCTGTTCATCTTTACTGGGTGATGAATCTCATTCTAGGGCTGGGTATCTTTACTTTATACCTTTAAGGTATTGACTTAAATCACCCACTATTAAATAGTTCTTCTCCAAATGATACCTGCAATGGATCCTTTTTGTACCCAGATCTAGAAAAAAAATTACTATTTCTATGGTTTTGTTTGCAGCCAATTACCTTGACTCGTTGATTTAATACATTGTGTGATTGGCCCACTACAACAGCAGCTACAATGATGGCCTTCCTACACATGGCTCTGAACACGGAGATGTCTGAGCCAGCGACTAGAACCTAACAGTGCTAACAACGGCAACAGTGCTGACAGAGCCAACAGTCTTAACTTCCGCTCATCCTCTCTGTAATCAATCCCTCTACTGGCTCAGTCCCTTCCCGCCCTCAAACCTCGACATCTCCAACAATTACAGACTCATCTCCAATCTCTCACGGTGTTCCCCAATGATCATTGCTCGGTACCCTCCTCTTCCTGCTCTACATTCTTCCCCTTGGTCACATTATACACCACCATGGCTGCCATCCACTGATATGCCAATGACACCCAACTCTACATCTCTACCAAATCAATTACTGCTGCCACTAATTCCACCCTCGCAAACTGCCTCACGGATATAAAGACCTGGAAGGAAACCAGCCTCATCAAACTCAAGAGCGACAAATCTAAAATCCTCATTATCGGCATCAAATCTTTTTAAAAACATTATTTCAATCGTCATATACAGAGGTACAGTATATACATGAATTTTGACCTGTGGATTCAAGCCATCCTAAGCATTAGGAGCAGTGGGCTGCCGTCACATGCCCAGGGTGCAACCTGGGGTTCAGCTCAAGGAAACTGTGACATACGGACAGTAGGAGTGATTGAACAGCCAACCTTGGGGTTAAAGGACGACCAGCTCTACTCTACCCAACGAGCTTCAGCTCAACAAATCCTGCCACAATTTCTCTCTGCAGCTACGGCTGCACAGTTTTTGCTTTCACACACATCCGTAATCTTAGTGTCATCTTTGATCGAACATCACATAAACCACATTAAAAAAAAAACATTGGCCGTCTACGCTCCTCCCTCTCCTCCTCAGCTGCTGAAACAGTCATTCCTGCCTTCATCCCCTCCCGACTCGACTACTGCAACAGCATCCTGTACGGTCCATCCACCGAAATTCTCAACAAATTACAATACATCCAAAACTCACATGCCCGTCTGCTCTCCCACTCCTGCACCAGAGATGATATCACATCGGACTTTCAAAACCTTCACTGGCTCCCCATTCAGTATAGAATCCAGTTCAGAACTATCCTCAACACAACCTAGCCCCCTCCTACCTTTCTGATCTCCTGCACCAACAAACTCTCACTCGCAAACTCAGATTTGCCGACCCCAACTTCAGGCTGCGGATGTCGTGTCAATGGGTAGGGTTGGGTTTGTGGAACTAATTGGACATTTCTACAGGTAGCGGGAGCAGGTATTGAAAATCAGACCTGTGCAGGACTCTGGAGCAACCTAGCTTTAGCTACATCATAAGCAAACACAACCTGATTGGACAGCATCGGTCCGGGGAGGGATAGCCTCAGTAAAGCAGAGCTGAGGAACACCTATCAAGCCAAAGAGTCGGACATTTCTTTGGTGGACCAAACCAGAGTGTCACTGAATCCTGGATTCATATTCAATAGCTCATGTTGCTTTTTAGAAATTCTTTGCTTGAGTAAACTGTCCTGTTTTTTTGGAAGTAAAAAATGTAGAGTTCTAGTAAGAGTCTGATGTTAGATCAGTGATTAACTGATGACTTTAAATGAAATCACATTCTTACTGCTGACCCTTTTATTTCTAACTTTGTAAAGCAGTGGAAAGCTTGAAACTACTTAGGACATCAACCAGCCATTATATTTTCTGCTCATACACAAAAACACAACACACACGCATTTTTTTATGTTAACCTGCAAATCTTCTGTCACTGGCGATCTTACAGTGGTTGCAGGAAAAACAACTGCTCTCACTTTCACCCTTATTATTCAGCAACTATACCACCAAAAGCACGCACATACGCACACACACTTACCTTCGAGGACCTGGATAATGAGACTTGCCTGTCCAAACACATATCTTGGCACATTAGAGGCAAGTGTGTGTGTGAGTGTTTGTGCTCCGCCCTCATTAATATGGGGTCAGTGCAGCAATATCATGTTGAGATCTGCCGTTTCCAGAGCACAGACATACTCCTTTATCTCTGTCGACAGCGCCATGTCTGCTCTGATTCTGCTTTCAAACTACTAATCACTGCTAAAGCATTCTTGGCCTGTTGCATAAACCCTGCAGCAGCTTCACACACATTTGAAGCAACAAAACAAGTCCAGCAGTGTTCCGTGTTGTTCTACTCTGTGTGAACAAGAAGGAGATATTCCGCTGTAAACAGGCTCCATGTATCTCAACAAGGCTCAGACTGGAAACTGAATTCAGAGCAGTTAAGGTGCTCAGTAACTGGCAGCCAGTGACCTCCAAACAAACAGATATAAGATATTTTGGAACAGAATTTTCTATTTATCCCATTGATAAGGTAACCTGACCACCAGATGGTTTTGTTACACATAACAATCACACAGAAGTTTGTTGTGAGGCGACAGCGCTAACTACTACACCAACATGCCACCCTTTATGTATAAAGATGAACGTTACAATAGTACAATGAAGACAGAACCCTGGGGAACTCCGTTTGTGATGGGGAGAAAATCTGGGTGGGACTCTCTGGCACAGCACTTAACTGGTTTGAATCCTACTTGAAGGACAGAGAATACTTTGTGTCTGTAGCTAATTACACATCAGAGCTGACTAAAATGACATATGGTGTTCCCCAAGGTTCAATACTGGGGCCTCTTCTGTTCAACATCTACATGCTTCCACTAGCTCAGATTATGGAAAACTACAAAGTGTTATCATAATTATGCAGACGACACACAAATCTACATAACTACATCACCAGGGGACTATAATCCCATACAAGGGCTGGGTTAATGCATTGAACAAATCAACTGGATGGGCCAGAATTTTCTTCAACTAAACAAAGATAAAACAGAAGTAATTGTTTTTGGTACCAAGGACGAACGATTGAAAGTCACCGCTCAGCTTCAATCACTGATGTTAAAAACCACAAACCAAGCCAGAAATCTAGGTATAGTTATGGATTCAGACCTCAACCTGAACAGCCATATCAAGACAATTACAGAATCAGCCTCCTATCACCTGAAGAATATATCAAGGATTAGAGGATTTATGTGTCAACAGGATTTGGAAAAGCTTGTCCATGCATTTATCTTCAGTAGACTAGACTACTGTAACGTGTTTACAGGTCTCTGTAAAAAGTCAATCTGAAAGCTGCAGCTGATTCAGAACGCTGCAGCTCGAGTCCTCACTAAGACCAAGAAAGTGGATCACATCACTCCAGTTCTGAGGTCTTTGCACTGGCTTCCTGTCCAGCAAAGACTAGACTTTAAAATCCTGCTGTTGGTTTATAAAGCACTGAATGGTTTAGGGCCAAAACACATCTCTGATCTGCTGCTACCTTAAAAACCATCCCGACCCCTTAGGTCGTCTGGGACCGGTCTACTTTCTGTTCCCAGAGTCAGAACTAAACATGGAGAAGCAGTGTTCAGGTGTTCTGCTCCACATATCTGGAACAAAGTCCCAGAAAGCTGCAGGTCTGCTGAGACCCTCAGCTCCTTTAAATCAAGATTGTTTGCTGCTGCCTTTAATTGAACCACATTCAAGGATATTAATCAATTTCTGCATTTTACTATACTACTGTATTTTATTTCTTACACTGCTTTTTAGTCTTTTAATGACTGTTTGTAATGTTTCAATGAATGTTCTTAATTGTTTTTAAATCTCCTTTTATTTTTGCCTTATGTTTTGATGCTTTTAATGGTTTTATGTGAAGCACTTTGAATTACCTTGTTGTTGAAATGTGCTATACAAATAAACTTGCCTTGGAGACCATCTGAGCCAAAAAGTTACCAGAAGACATTAAACTGATGAATAACATCCATACTGTGAGCATCACAGTCAGAGGACGGCCAGGAGTTCACCCTGAGCAACCTGATGAAACGCTCCATGGCCAAATGTGGGAAATGGTCTGGAAATATGGATTTCACTTTTGAGGGATTTGAGAATGTTTAACAAGTGGCCAAATCATGTTTTAAAAGTTTGGACTTTAAGAAACAATTCTAATGCATCTCATCTCATACATGGTCACAGCTTAGTTGTTAATGTTACACAGCAGTGTGTGCACAAAAATATGGAGTTATAACCGACCGGTCCGATGCTTGTAGAGGTCCGTATGGTTATACTGGAGCAGCTGGTGTCCAGGTGTTTCCAGGTAATTCAATGAAGGTGAACTGCCGTGAGGCTGCAGATTTATCAACATATCGAACCTTCATAAAGTCTGTCTAATATTTGATCTTGTGGTCAGTTATAGTTTAATAATGTATATAAACTTTACATAACCTTCATTCATGCACCTCAATGGTGCGCTCCAACTACAACAGAGAGAAAAACACACCTCATCTATTCATCAACTGTACGTTACAAAACAAAAAGAAATAGCAGAACAGAGCAACCTGCCAGTCTTAATAACTAAAGTCGTTTGCCTGCCTGAAAACAAAACTCGTGGTGAACAGGTGCCAGTTTGAGGCAAGGAAATCTTTGTGTTGTACAACATAATCTGCATGTCAGCTTTTGCCTCTATAGCAATATGCTGTCAAGATGTTTAATATTTGTATCTGTCAGAGGATTTTTCTTAGCCTGTAAAGATGGTAAATTACAGCAAATCAAAAAAGTGTGTAAACAAGAATTGCATTGGGTGTGTGCTACACTACACCCTTTCTCGGGGCTTTGATCTAAATTGGAGTCGTGGGATTCAAACTAAACACAAGACGTGGCTGCTTTGTGTGATTTTAATGTCAGCTTTTAAGCGGCTGCTGTATTTAAGCTTTGAGCAGTTGCACGCAGACTTGAAGGTGGAGCTGGATATCGGTCTGTATTTTGTCAGTCTGGATCACATCAATCCACAAAAACAACAGAGTTGCACATAAAGCATCCGTCTGTTGTGGTGCCAGGTGCTGCAGTCAATTTACAGCCAGTTATCCACGCAAGCCCCTCATTGCTGTTTAACTTCATTGATTAAGAACATAGACCGGGTGGAGGGGGGGGTCGTGCACCTTCTGTTGCAGGGAAGCAAGTACAGGCAGGAAAACTACTGTTCAAAACAATTTCACGGCCCATTAAGGAGTTGATGGATGGTTTAAAAAAATAAAATACTAGATTCCATCTGGGCAACCTCATCTATGAATTTGAAGCCATTATTCTCCAGAGCAGAGAGCCGCCTGCAGCCAGCAGGCCTGAACCGAGGGGAGAGAAACGCTCCTCTTACAAATGAGGCTAGAGAGCTGATGGTTTCCTCAAGTAAACTGTGGCCTTTGGCTGCCGGCCCAATCATCCTCGGTGGCAGCTCTCTACCACATCTTCCCTCTGACTGGATGTGTGGAAACTCCAGCCTACACTGGAAAGTAAAGGATTTTTCTCTGCCAAAAGTTGTTCCTCCCATTTGAAAAAAGACTGCTTTCAAAAATACAAGACCAACCAAAAGGTTGAGGTTGAGGATGTGAGTGAGTATGAGTGTGAGGATTCTAAAATGTCCCTCTGTAGCTTTTCCATGCCTACTTGTGATGCTTATCAATTGTGGTGATGCAACGGATCATAAAACTTACGGTTCTGTTCGTATCACAGATCAGAATCATGGTTCAGATCAGCACAAAAGAAAAAAAGGAGCATCTCCTGCGGCAGCAGGCTCTCAGGGGGTTTAGCAGCAGAACATGAGAATATTTACAGAATTCTCTTTCATGCCATCCTCTAGTTTGAGCCAGCACAAGTATTTTTCAGCCCCCCCCCCCCCCAATAGCCATCCTTCCCTCTTGCAGGAAGACAAGTGTGTAATTGAAGTTCCTGGTTTCTCCAGCCAATATTTCAGGTTCAGCATCAGAGAACTTCCACACTCTCTTTTGCACTCCATTGCTGTCAGACATGCTCAAGATGCAGCTTTAACAGCCTAACATCAGGTCTTAATTAGCTGCAGTGCGTTCTAGTGAACTCAACTGCAGCTTTGCTCATTTACATCATCACTCAGACTAAATACCCCACCAGATTAAAAAGATCCAGAGACACTAAATGTTGTGGCTTGTCAGTAATTCGTGGTCGGTAAATCGAATGTCAAAGTGCTCATGAACTGGAATAGGTTAGCTCACCACTCAGTTCCATCAATCAGTGATCCAGAGCAGCATAAAAGACATGTATACAGAAAATGTCCCACATTACCACTTTAAATCCAGTCGGCTGAACAGCAGCCACTGTGGCCTGGCTTTGACCCCTTTTCCATCCGGTATTGCAATTTGTATCTGGACAGCAACGCATATTAATGCAGGTGTAATGCAATCAGATCAGATCAGCCAGACCTCATCTGAAGAAGATCTTAGCCAGGTGTGTATTAAATATGTAAAGCACGTTCTTCAGAGAAATAATCCAGCCAACATGTTATGTTGAAAGGTCACTGAACTCCACCTCGTCCTGCTGTCTCAAGCTGTTTGTCAAGAAGCTACAACAGAGTCCCTCTGCAAAGGAAAAATAAGTAACAGAGCAGCATCCCTTTAGGAACTCTGGAGGGTCCTCTGCAACGTGCATAGGGAGAGTCATGTGACTGAACTAGTACAGATCACCATCTTATAGTGACGGTAATGTTAGCCTAGTTAGCAAGGCCAGTGAAAAGTATCCTTTAGGTGTTGTACGGTCTACTGATAACAGAAAACACAACCTTATTAAAAACCATGCAATACCCTATTTCATTACCGCTACTTTAAGAATTATTTGCTTCACTTCCTGCAGGCACAGTGCCAACCTTTTAGTTTTTTCTCTCATATGCACGCTGCAAAAACAGGTTGCCGTTCACAGCTCGTCAACAGAGCAGACACACCCATCAAAATATGGCACTCAAGCTCTGTATCGAGGTCGAGGAGTTGAGCCGATACCTATGAAGGTAATAAAAAAAAAAAACAGAGGCTCGATAGTCTGAACCAAGACCGCAAAATCATGATTGCTCACACCTTGTTAACAGCAGCAGCAGCACATTACATTTAATCATTCTGTTTTTACCTTTCAGAATAAAAGCCCTCCACATACACACTGCATCAACAAAATAGCTTACAGAGAGACTCACACTTCCCTCTGCAAGGATTTAATCTGTTATAAGCAGCAGTGCGACATGTGAAGCTGGAGAGATGTGAACATGTAGATGAATTATCATGTTTTATGGCTTCTAACAGCTCTACTAACAAATATATACTAAAATGTTGCACAATCATCTCTAGACTGAGTCTGTGTGCAGCAACTGAACTCGGACACATCAGAGCAGCCACAGATTAATAAGTGATGCAAACCTTTAATAAGAAAAGGAATCCTTTATCCTCACACACACACACACACACACACACACACACACTAGTCCTCACAACAGTTCGTACATTTGCAAGTCAGCCGTAGATGAAAGGAAATGCCGCTACACTTCAGCTTGTGTAATTGTTGCTTCACACACCTCAATCTTCTCTGCTCTCATCATCAACAACCACCAGACTGACAACCTGTTCTTGCTGGAACTTATTTTTTCTACTGGATGTGTAACCATTTTTTTTACAGAGCTGGTCACTCAAACACAGACTGTAGTCTACAAGAATGCCATCCTCCTCCTCA